ACTGAGACTTACATGTTTTTGTTTGCTATGGTTTCCCATTATTATGTCTTTACTCTAAGCTTTGAATTTTTTAGTGATTTTAAAAACTAAAGTTTTTAACATTTGTGGTGGTATATTGCAAAGTTGTTCAATTGTTGTGAATGTACTAGCATTCAGTCTTCTATCTTAGGTATGTACTCTAATTATGGTTTACCTTTTTATTTACTTATATTTGGTTCTGATTTGATATAATTTTAAACATTACTTTGAATTATTACTAAATATTAACTTACATTAATTTTAAAAATTTACTAAATTATACTAGACACTCTGAAATAAAAAATAATGTCCTCTATTTTAATATATTTAATCATCAATCTTAGCCCAACATAAAATATCAAAGATAGAGCAAAATAGACATTTAGAATACAAAATACATATTGACATACCTTTGTGAAATAGGAATGTGGGTTGACAGACTAGAGTAACATGGTTGGATGATGTATATGGTTTACATTAAGTAAGAAATTTCAATTTTATTTTAGTAGTGCATTTAAAATTTTGAATAAAGCCGAATAGATGTTTGGATTTTTTTTTCTTTAATCCAACTTCAGAAACTGAGAAAAGTAAAGTTATCAAATATTCCCCCAAATAAAATTGGAAGAACCGTTTAATGATTTTTCTTTTTAAATTTTCAAATATAACAAATCGGATCAAACAAAATTTGTTGTGCTCAACCTTAGTAATATAAATACAATATTTTTCAAAATATTAACCACAATAATCCTTTACTTTATATTAATTTTGATTTTAATATTTATTTACTGTCCGTGTAAATATTTATACATGATTAATATATCATTTTTTACTATTCATTTTTAAGATTTTTTCCAAGAGTTAATAATAATTAAAAGTAGATGGTTAGTAATATTATAATATGAGTAGATATATTTTTTTGTACTGCCACTAAACATCATTCTGAACAATAATTGTAAATTAGATAACGAAGACAGGTAAGTTAAGGCAGCGTTTGTCTTTTTCTTCCTAAACATGTTTCTACAACTCACTTTTTTAATAATTTGTTTGTAATAATTAATTGATGAATGAAACACCAGAAGCAAATTGGTCACTGCCCCTTCTCTCCCTTTTCTTTCTCTCGCGACGTTGCTCTTCTCTTCTCCACTACTCACTTTTAGAGAGAGAGAGAGAGAAGAGTGAGAGAAAATGAGTTTCTTCTCTTTTCTGGGTCGTGTGATCTTTGCTTCTCTTTTCATTCTCTCCGCATGGCAAATGTGATTCCTCTTTTCTTTAGATCTATCATTTTTTTCTTATATAACTTTCATATTATTGCAAAAATGCTCATTTTTTCATTGTATTTTCGATTTTGGCCATCTGGGTTTTCCTTTTTTCGTTCTTTCTCTTATTTCAATTTTAATGGAAAACCCTTTCAGATTTGTGTTGTTTTCTTCTTCAATTTAGTGACACGTATAGATAGAGAGGCAAACTCATGTTTTTCCAATGAAGATACTATGATTTGAGATGCCGAAAAATAAATTAAGTTACATAAAACTACTCATACGATTAATAATTTGAATACTATATTTTTTGTTTTTAGGAACCAAGTGCATTGAGATAAGTTCCAAGGAATGTGTAGTTGTTTTGTCATATAAGTGAATGTGCCCATTGAAGATAATGTCTTAATAATAATTTAGGTTAAGATGTTTTGTCTGGTTCCTTTATTATGGTTTTGCTTATGCCCAATGATTGAAGATCTCCTAGGCTATTGAGCTCCTCCGTTATAACAATTATTTCTTTGATACTATAGGTCTTGATTAATCCATGCTGAATTTGAAGACCCACTTAAGAGACAAAACTATGTGAATGCCTATTTTTCTTTTCACAAATCTCAAATCCGAGACCTTACTTAAGGAAATTGAGCTCCTTGCTACTAGAACCAAGTACCTTGGTTTGGGGGGGTCCATTTTGATAAGTGGTTCCTTTCTTCAATGTGCATAATGAAGAATATATAAGTCATAGAGTGAGCTTGTTTTCCAATGGCATTTGCTCTGATATGTTAGATTGAATTGAAGACTTGATACTTGGAATGTCATTTCTGCAACCAGCTACACCCTTTCCTGCAGTTTTATTTTGTAACTTGTTTAGTGATGGATCATTAGATTGATCTGTGTCAAAGTGCTTAAGCGTATATACTAAACACCTTGTTGAGTTGCTATAGTAATTTTTAGTTTGCTTTTCATGCTATCAATTCAGCATTTGGTACATTTTTATTTATATAGAATGTGTTTGATAGGTTTAATGAATTTGATGCCACTGGCGGATCCATTGCAAAGGAGTTGAAACCCAAGCTCACTGTTGTGAGGAAGAACTTGTCATCCAAATTCGGAGTTGGGATACCAGATTTTAATGTAAGGTCATCTTTTCTTGTACCGTCATTTTTTCGGAATGGGTTTTTTCTAGTAACTGTCATTCTGGTTGAAATGTTTAATACAGGTTCGGCAATTCATTGCCACTATCATATTTCTAAAGGGGGTTGGAGGTATTCTTTTTGTGTTTGGAAGCAGGTTTGGATCTGTTCTTCTGGTAAGGGCTTGCACTCTTAGCTCTGCAATGAAAAAAAAAGTTGTCATTCTTAACTCTTCAAGTTCTGATCTTTGTTTTGGTCTTAAAACATTATAATCCAAATTGAAATTTTCCTCTTTTTGTAGCTTATTCATCTGGCGATTACTACTCCGCTTCTGTATGATTTCTATAACTATAGACCTAACAGCACGAAATACAATCTACTGCTGAATGATTTCATTCAGGTTTGTTCAAATTTCTATTGTTTTCTGTGTTTCTGGCTGATGATTTTATCACTCTGAGAACTTAATATATTGTGTTCATTTTTACGGCAGAACGCAGCACTTTCCGGTGCATTGCTATTCTTTATAGGGATGAAAAACTCAATTCCCACAAGACAACTAAGGAAGAAGACCCCAAAAGCAAAGACAAATTAGAAATTAGAGCAAAAATGTACTTGTTATGTTTCAGCATTTTGGAATAGCTGCTTAAACAACCTCTTCAGATTATTGTTTTTGTCAGTTGGCACTTGGCACAAAATTTGATTATGGATATGCAGATTGCAGAACCTTTCTCATGCAACTCTATTGTACTTGTGCTAGAATAGATATTAAACAAAAATTAATGATTATTTTTTGTGTGAATCAAGTTCAATATGATGTCTTTTATGAAAGGTAAATAACTAAATATCCCCTCTATGGATGAAAGAATCACAAATATCAGTAGTATTAGAATTTAGAAGAATAGGTAGTTACACTTTGTTTTTTTTTTTTAAATTGAAAACTTAAAATTACATACATCTTCATCTTAATGTTGATAACTTTGCTGTTATTTTACATTTGATAGCATCACTGTTAAAGAATAAGCTGTGGCCCTAAGCATGTTTTTCTTGCTTATTTGTTACATTCCATTACACGACCATTACCTTAACGGTCTTCAAAGCAATTTCACACTTTGAATTAAAATGTTACATGTTGGATTAAAAATGTGATAATTATAATAAGTTGAGATAACCCATGTTAGATAGCACAAGAAAAAATAAGTCGTGATCCTTCAACATTGAAATTCTAAGCCTAGTTTATTCAAGTGTGAAATTCTACATTGAATATAAGATGAGTGAAAGAATTTATAGGTAGAAAAAACTTATGGAATCAATTCATTAAGTTTTTGGTTGTAGACCTTTTCCCATGCCCCAAAGGCTCCCGGAGACAAGGATCTATTGTCCCAAACTAAAAATAACGAAGGAAAAACAATGAAATATTTATTGGTTTACGACATATTTTGGAACATACCTGACCACAGTCCTTTTTCGTTAAAAAAAGAGTGAGAAAATCGTTTGAAAGTGCTATTAAAAGTGAGAAAATCCCTGGGTTCAATGCCTTGCACTTGTTCATATATATCCGTTCTGTTAGATTATTCTACGAACTTTAACATGCCTGATATTGCCTTCATAGATTCTTGGATTCACAATGGAATTCACATTGGAAATAACAGAAAATACAAGGACTCTTATTACTTCTGTTAAAAGATAAGCCAAAAAGAGAAAGCCAAGTTAGTTAGTTTAGTTAGAGAACTTTCTAATATTAGCATGTGGTTATTGTTAGTTAAAAACTCATGTGCTAAATATGTGTATAAATGCATTTGGTGTTTGGAAAAATTAATAGAAGAATTCCATTCCCTCAATCACTTAACTTTACTCTCTCTTTCTCACAACACATCACTCCCTCTCTGTTTCCATTCATTCACGTTTTTACTCTCCTTTTCATTGCATTTCAACTTCTTCTCTTTCACTCACATTGGTGTGCTTAACACCTTCAAGCTCAAGCTATGTGTTATATGAATTCTTGAAAGGCCAGTGACACTAAAATAGCAATGGACTTCACATTGGAAGTAGCAGAGAATATCAAGATTCTGTGTTACATTTACATGAAAGGGACAAATCTTTTTTTCCTGACCTATGTTATGCTGTCCTTGCTCTTTTTAGGTTTTGCTTTGCAAAAATGAATGTTTTACTTTAAAGGACAAAGTATACCAACAGTAGCGTGCATTCATGCGTTGAAGTCTCTCCATTCTTTTTTCTCATGGATTCTCTAATGGTACTATAGACAGAGGATGATGTTGATGCCTTATCTTAAAGACTTGAAAGTTTCTCTATTTTTATAAAGTGTGATATTTCATAGTAGTTTATATTAGTGGAGTGTTGTTTAGGATATGAATTGTGAAAAATTTCAGTCCAAAATCTCCATGAAACTGTAACCATTTCTTAAAATGACCGGAAATAAATTAAATTCCCTTTGAAAATGAAGGCAAAGTTGAATTAATAAAGTTTGTTTAGTAAAAAATGGTTTTTGCCTTGGTATCAGATCCCACACCGAGAAAACACAGTAGAAGCATTGTAAGCAGCTTATATAAAATGTTGAAGAGAGGCATTTGAAAAGATTAAAAAGGGTCAGTTGGCTAAATATGCCACGCTCATCCTTGTGGTGAGTGCTGTATGGCCATCTAGACATATGGCTGACATAATTTCTGGAACCTAAAGGGTTGGCTCGCTTTGGCCGACCCTGCAATAATAGTCCCAATATTTCTTTAAAAATATATTATTTTTTCCTATTGGCTATCTTATGTATTCGTATTTATTTATTTTAAATTCTACTCTGAATTTTAGTTGAATTTTGAACCAGTTGCTTCAGGAAACTTTCAAATCCTCCTCCCCATTGCTGAATGATCAGATGCACCATTTGCCACAAACGTAACATCAAAGTTATTATTTTATAAGGTCCATTGTTCATCGAATAGAGCCCTATTATGAAACAAATCTTCTCTCGTCTTCTTGGTTGTTGGACCAACTATATCTTAAACCTCTAGATGCAATGTCCTTCAGTTGACATTGATCAACACATTCTGAGCCACCACCTTGCCTTTGTCTATTAGATAATGTTCTATGGCTTGGTTCTAATCTTCATTAGGTGTATTTTGGTTACTTTGACCAGTTTTCCTTGCCTCATTTTTGCTTATAATCTGCTATGCTTAATTGATTTGCTAGTTTCTTTCTCTTCATTTGCATGAACAGCTTTAGATTAGTTAGCTGTGTTAACCTGTCTCATCTTTCATTCTGCTTTAGCATGTTTCCTGTTTCCACTCATACTCTACCTTTTGGTCCTCTAAAGTTCCTTCCTCATTTTCAAACTACATATTTTTGCAAAGATTTATTGATCTGCATCTCAACAACATCTAATGTATTTCCTATTCAAAATAGCCTCATTGGTATAATATTTAGATTATCTTTTAAATTTATTGAAGTATTGAATCATAATTTTGTTGTTGTAGATTGATGGGTGAGTCATTAATCAGTTATACTCTATAATTTGAAGGATCTTTAAAATCTATCGCTCAAAGAAGAACATCAATTACTTACAGCTTTATTTGCAAGTTGGGTTTCAAATGAGAATGAATGAAAATGGAAGACTTATCATAAATGTATATTTCAAGACATTCATTTCCCATTCATTCTGATCCAAAATTTAATTCGAAAACATACCCCGATGATTATACAGGGTTTACCACCGTTTAAGTTGTTGATGATAAATGTTGAAAGGATATCATACCCCTGGATAATATGGTATATGATGAGAACCAAGGAAAGACCATAGTCAAAACAAGGATGCTTTGCAAGAAATTGGTGTGCAAATAAAGATTCAAGATTGTTAAGGGAATCTCAAATCATCATCATTACTATAACCATTGCAAAAATTGAGTGAAGGATCTGTTTGTATTGAAGAATTAAATTTCAAAAACAAACAAATCTAACATCTAATAACATATTTATAATAAAATAATATTTTATTATTGAAAACAAAATGAATTTGAAATATTCATCTCTCCTGATACCAAGGATATTTACAAAAACTATGGTTGTTACTTTATCACAATTGACGCCATTATTGTTGGTGTAGCCGTTACTATCATCCCAACAGAAGGAAATTGATATATTATATATATAAAATATATGCATCAATAACATCAATCTCAATACAAACTTATCCATGATATGCACACATTACAAAACCCAATGTAAAATGCAAATAAGAGATTAAAATAACTTCTTATAAAAACATTGCATTCAAATAAGATTGCAGTATTTTTGTTTTTTCATGTATTATTTTTTTGAGAATCAATGTGAAAGTCTCTTATGTTCCCTACACAAATTATTTTCTCTTCAAATAATGATACTCAAAAGTGAGGTGTGATTAGCATTTTATTTCCAACAGAAAAGTACTCCCTTCTGTGGTGTTCGTAGTGAGTTTGGATTGATTTTTAGCAAAAAATAATCTGATTTAAACATAGAATTAACTCGTGGTTTACCCTGGTCTATTTAGTTCAATTAAGACATTTGATCCGAACATATCCAAATGCTATATGCAGTTTTAGGTCGGGTTAACGTTAGATTAATTTTTTATATAAAATTTGACATTACACATACACTTCAAAACTTATAAACATGACTAAAATATTAAGTTTAAGATACTTTAAAGTATTAATGTTAATATTATCACATCTTTATCATAATGCTATTTATATACACTATAAAAAGTTAAAAACATGATGCCACAAATCCACACATTTGTTCCTAACATCATGATAATATAAACAAACAAATACTATATAAATTAAAAAATTACTACATCAACATTCTTTTGTCCTTTAAATGTACTAAAATAACTCTTTTACCATTAACCGTAAAAAAGAAAACAACAATTTGTGTCACGTAGGAAAGATGATTCTTTTTCACTTTAATTTTACATCGACTATTAGCTAGACCAATGTAGCCATTATTATCAAATATCTATTATTATGGAAAAACTAAAAGAGTTTATTAGATTATGAAGAGAATAAATAAATATGATAGAAATATCATGTGTATGTAAGAAAAAATGTATATGATATATGAGTTTTATACGTTGTAACTACATCAATTATCATTCATATTTAATTATTATTGACTTTTCAAAAAAATAATCCAAATAGGGAATATAATATAATAATTGTATATAAATATTATAATTTTTAAATATTGTAAAATAATTATACTTATGAATAAAAAAACATTTTAAGACACAACTTAAAATTTTATTTTAAATGATTAATTTAATTTGGACCACGCATCATTGTGCTACACTGTCAATGATTTCAACTCCTTATTAAGACATAATAAATTTGTTTTTTTTTTTTTTTTTTTTTTTTTTGAAGACATTGAATGATAAGTTGGAAAAGTAGGGTAACACGTGAATGTTGTAGGTTGTGGTCTTAGAATTGACCACGCAACTTAGAGGGGAACCGTGAGATTCACAAAGATTGTTGCGGTTGGATTTGATGTTAGGTTTGCGATTCAATGGCGTATGAATGTGACAGCCGCATATTTTTATCATCAGTCAAAGAGCCGGTGCTATTTCTTAGCTTCCTACGTGTAACGTTTTTTTATTTTTTAGGAGAACTAGTATTAGAATATAAGTTATTTCTTTTGATCCTTAAAAGTATGATATGTGTTTTAAAATTAAGGTAAATGAAGTTGTTTTCTATTAAAATTTAAAAATAATGAATTTAATACAAAACTAATAAACTAACAAATTAATTATAAAAAAACTCAATGATAGAATATAAACTATAAAGTCTTAAAGAAAGTATCATCAGTGAAATATTATGTTCAATCTTACAACTATGAATGCAATTCGTATTGGAATATGAAAGAAAAATACATTTTTGCAATTTTTAAATGATTTAATTCAAAAATAAATTAGACTCTTAAAATTTTATTGTTATCACTTGTCATTTATCTAGTATTAGAGGGACTAATATTTGAGATGACCTGAACCTCAAAGCATTGCATTTGGAGAATGAAAATCATGATGCAAGACGTTAAATAAATTTTTTTTCATAACAAAATAACCTCCACACCTTTTATAAGACCTTAAAAAATAATAAGATATTTTATAATTAAGTCACTTATTTGTTTTAAGAATTTGCCTATCATTTAGTTTATGATTTATCGTACAATTGGGTTAGAAAATGTTATAATAAATAAATTCAATTTTTATAATATAAATTTTAAGTTATATGGTAGAGAACATTTTGCCAAGTGGCAAGATTAATTTAAACATAACTTTCAAATCTTTTGAAATTATTTATTTATGTCACAATGAGCATTATTTTACTATTAAACTATCCTTAGGATCATGTTTGTATATATAATCATCTTTAATAATTATTACTCTTAAATATAATTAATCTAAGGGTGATAATTTATTAGTGTTTATATATTATACTTAAAAAACCATATGTTGCAATCATCTCTCTATTGACCAAAGGAGATTATTATGCAATGATAATACAAAACGTCAAAAAGAAAAAAACAGATGGATCATCATCTATCTTCCTCTCAAGTCTAAATGCCTATCCTGTCGTAGTTTACAATACGTTATTATTATTACAAGAGATATATCCATTTACTCCAAAAGTAAGTGAAAAAAACTTATTATTTATCTTAGTTATTCAATCTTAGAAAATTTAATGGTTTAGATGTACTCAACCACTTCAAATCATTGGATTTCCAAAAAATGAATGATCATGATGAGGAGTAATCTTTTTCACTTACTTTTGGAGTAAGTGGATCCCTCCCCTACTTAAAATACTGCTATTAATGTTTTGTGACTATTATCTTTATCTTTGACTGTGAATATTTGATCCTCCTTTGCTGCCTTTCGGTTACCAGAAAATGCTAGAAATGTATGTGTATCTTAAATTTTATGTATAAGACTAATTAATTATGAGATTTTTTTTTTATGATATGTATAAGTTTAATACAATGTAATTGCATCTTTTTGTCATTTATTTTTAATTATTATTAACTCTTCAAAAAAGTAATACAAATAAATAACATATGATATAATAAGTATGTATAAATATTTTCACTTATAATACATATATATTACACCGATTAATTATAACAAATTGTGTAAAAATTTATTACACTGATTAATTATAACAAATTGTGTAAAAATTGCATTAGTTTAGATTTCATGATTATTAAAATATAAAAACTGTGTTCGTAGTTGAATTGAGTAGAAGCACACAAGATAGAATTACTCTTAACTATTGCATTACAAATGTAAATAGTTGCACACTGCAGCAATCACCAGTAATTCGGCTTGACTTATTTAATAAGGTAAAACTGTCCAACATTATTTATGTTTTAGAGCAATAACCATAAGCTCAAAATTAAATTGTTTATTTTTGAGTTTGGAAGACACTTGAAAATACCTAAAAATTGTTAAATGAAACATATAACACAATTTAACACACATGAGCAATACACATGTATAGAATCACTCATTCAAAAACATTCTAACGATAATTAAAAGGAGGGGATAAATGAAGAATCAATTAAGAATAATAATAACAAGAAAGACAATACAAAATAACAATTAGTTTATTCTAGTGGTGTAAGACCCCACTCGATCACCAGAAAGATAAAAAAGTCAAATGTTTGATTCCTAAAAGCGAACACTTTTA